GGCGGGCCGCGGCTGGGCGGCGCGGGCCATGGCGCGGCGGGGCGGGCGGGCGGCGCGGGGGGCGCGGCGCGGGCAGCTGGCGGCGCGGCCTCGGCGCGGGGACTGGAGCGCCGGCGGTAATCCGAGCCGCCGCGGCTCGGGCGTCACGTGGGCGCGGCAGAGGGAGGACCGCGGCGGGGGTGGGGGGCGGGGGCTGTGGGAAAGGCCGGCCGGGCGCAGGCCCATTCAGCGCCGGAGCCGGGCTTTGAAATCCGAGCCCGGGCGCAGCCGGACTGGCCCGGCGAGCGGGGCCGGCGGGCTCGGGCGCCGCTGTGGGCTGGGGGCGGTGCTGGGGCGGGGCCCGCGGGGCTGCCTGGCGGGTGGAGCCCGGGAGTTGGGTGTCTGCCCCCCACCCCGGGAAGGGGCTCGGCACCCCATTCCAGCCTGTGGTCTCGGGCCGGGGTCTTCAGGCGCTTTTAGAGATCGGGCGGTGGGCTGGACTCCCCTGGGGGGCGTCCCGCGGGCGCAATACACGACACACAGCGGGGGGAGGGGGCGTGGGGTGTCGCCCGCCTTGGGACGTTCCATCCCAGGCAATGATGAGTCCGCACGGTCCTCCAAAAGCTCTTTGGATGCTTTTCCAAGCGGGGCCGAAGCCACTCGCATTGGGGGGTAAGGGAGGGGGCAGGATGAGCTTTTGGGGTGTCGTGACCGGGTCGGGGCAACCTGCTTACTTGGCAGCGGGGGCCGGTGTCAGACCAGCGGGGCAGAGGTGGGCTACCGGCCCCAGTCCCCGACGCCTGGGCGCACGCCGTGTTCACGTGGACGACGGGCGGCGCGTACTGCCCTTCGTCCTGGAGACTCCAGGCGGGGAAACCCACCCTCCCTGAGAGGCACAAACTCATTCTCCCCCACCTCGGGCGCCTTCAATGAGAACCACCTGGGTGCTCATTAGGCCACTCAAAGGCTCCCCAGAGCTGGAGTCTGGTGGACTCAGGCCCACGCGTGTGCTACTGCGGCTTATTTAGCCAAACCAAGGTGGGCACCTGAGATGCTTCCTCAGTCCCTGCCCTTCCATTTCCAGCGATGTGCAGCCTGTAGGGCATGCCCTTTCATTCAGAAACTCAAGGTTTGGTTTCCCTGTTCAAAGGGGACGTGGCTGCATTCCCCAGGGGAATCTGGGTGGAAAAGTCAGGTGCCAGGGAAAGTAGGGTTCAGTTCCTTGGTGGTCTCCAGGAAGGGGCGGGTCCCAGTGGTGAGAGTGGGACCCAGAAGACACCCATCAGGGAACCGTCAGGTGACCAGCCTCCAGGTGTAGCCAGCACTCCTTGGGGCAACATGGTCCTGGAGCAGCTGTGGGCATCAGGCAGGCAGAGAGCCGGTGCCAGTGGGAAGGAGCAAGCATGTGCGGCTGAGTTTCCCGTCATTTCTTTATTGGGGCAGGGGGTGTGTCATTGATACGGACTTCCGGGCTGGTCCCTGTTTGCAGACAGGTACGCATACTCCAGTGTGTGCACACATAGCACGAGGCCAGAGCTCTGGCGGGCTGGAGAGGTCAAGCTCTTTTACAAGAGGATGTTAGAAAGAGACTGGTCCCAGAGAATGGGTGGTGTCTGAGGCTTCGGCCGCACCCCGGTGGGAAGCCGGCTACCTGAGCACCAGGGTGCAGCTGCCAGCAATGGGGGCCCAGAGGGCTGGGCTGTGTGAGGAGTTTGGGTGGCCAGCCTCTGTGTCCCTACCCCGAGCTGGTGGCCAGGCCCGGCCCTGCCCTTGAGGCAGGTGTTTGAGCTCCTCAGGGAGGGGGCCTGAAGACCCTGAATGCTCCATGGGGCCACTTCTTGGGCCCTTCTCCATGCCAGGACCGTCAGAGGACAACCCTCCGGTCCAGGTGATCCCCACGCCCACTCCGCTGGTGCCTAACTTCCAGGTGCTTCTTCTGGACCTTCTCAAAGTGCTGCAGCAGCTCTGCGTAGTCGATGCTGGGGGAATCCGCTTTCTGCGCCTTGGGGGCTGCTTGTGAACTGTCTCTGGGGAAGAAGAAGGGCTCAGCATCAGTCTCAGCAAGCCCGGGAGGGAGCTGGGGGCCAGGTGGCACCGGGCATAGAAGGGCCGGGGTCAGGGCAGGGCCACAGGCTCACGGACCTCAACCTTGGGGAGTACGTCTTCCTCAAGCCCGGGATCCCTTGCCCAACGGTCAGCCCCAAGGCAGGGGAGCCCTGTGAACATCCCCTCCCCCTCAAATGCTGGGACCAGTCAACAGTGCTGCTTGGATATGGTCTTCAGTCTGTGGGCTGGCAATGGGGCCCAGAGCAGGCATCGCATCGGGAAGCATTTCCTGTTTACGACTGGCTCCCTTTGGGGTGAAAGCCAGGGCTAGCAGCCAGCCAGGAAGCCAGCTGGGGCCTGGAACAGGGTCCAAGGAGAAGGGGGAGGAGGCAGCCTGGACCTTTCTCTGGGGCAGGACTAGGCCTGCAGACAACAAGGATTGTCTACTGCTGAAGAGACTATACTGGGCCTTTAGCTTGGCAGGACATCGATTTTTGAGTGTTGAGGTCCAAAGGCCTGTGGTCATTTTCTGTCCCTGAGGGAGAAGAGCTGGTTTCACCACCGGGCATGCTGGCGGTTCCTACAACTCCTGTTGTTACCATCCCCTCCCCCTGCTCTGTACGGTTGCACAGGTCGTGCAGAGCGCAGCTACAATGTGCCTGACGCTCCCTAGGGTCGTGCAGGGTAATAGCCCTGTTCAGCTTGCCCCAGGGACTAGATCCCCTGGGGCCCTGCCCTGTTTATAAGCACCCCTCCAGAGAATCTCCTGGAAGTCTGCTTCTCTCTCAACTGAGCCTCCCTGGCTTAGGAAACAGATCTGTGTGGGCTGGAAAAATATTTGCTTCTATCCCCTGAAGCCTGGTGGCCCTAGTAAGGGGGGAGTCTCATGAAGGTTGTGGGCTGTTCATGAGAATCCTTGGGCCCCCTGAGTTCATGGACAGACCCCAATATTGAGGCGCAAGAACTGAGCACACAAGCTAGATAAGCCGGGATCCAACTGGAATACGACCACTTCCTAACCACTGGACCTTGGACCCATGGCTCAGTTTCCTCCTCTATAAAGGGGGACGGCCACAGAAGCCACTCCATGGGGTAGGTGTGAGGGTTCCCTCAGATTCGACACCGAAGAGCTTAGCCTGGTGCCCAGCCCCAGCTTGATGGGCGGCCAGCGTGGCTACAACCCTGGTCTTCTGAGGCGAGGCCAGCTGGGGCCCAGCAGCTCAAGGCCGCCTGTATATCTGCGGCTCAGTCCACTTGGCGGGGAAAACGATGGCACTTCACCCAAAGGAAAGCCTCCCCAATAAGCTTGGCCCCTGACAGGCCTCTCTGACCACTCACCTGGCTGCTGAGGCAGGACCAGGGGTGGTGGGACCCCTTCCCATGGTTAGGACGGGGCTGGAGCTTGGAGGTGGCCCCTACCTACTCAGTGTGCTCCCCTCCTGCTGAAGGCACCCTAGACAGTGGCGTGGCCCCTGCTTTCCTGGGCCTCAGGCAACATCGGTTCAGCAAAGACCAGCAGGAGCCGCCTGGCTCTGGTGGGGGCAGGCCGCGGGCAGCATTCTGAACTCCAGCTCCTGTGTTCGGCTCCCCTGGGAACAGGGAAGGGGGCTCCCTGTCACAGTAGCTCTGCGGTCCCGGTGTCACCGCCCTGAGAGAATAACCTGGGCCTCTGGGGAAGCCGAGGGACACCCTGTGGCTTAGAGCTCTCGCTAGGGAGGGGCCAGGCGCAGCCCCAGCCCCGCAGGCAGAGATTTGGGAGACCTGTGGGCCTGGGAACATGCGCCCAGACGGGACACTGCAGTACGTGCCTAGGCGTCCGTGGGTCTGTATGCCGCTCCCCTCGACACTAATGGCAAGCCCCGGCGTCAGGTCCAGAGGTAGGACTGAGATTAGGGGTTTCCGTGGAGATGCCAGCAGTGGCAGCCAACCTGGGGGATCTGCCCAGAGGTGGCTGGGGCAGCGTGTGGGGGTGGGGAGGAGTGGGCCACACCTTGTGCTCCCTGGGCCCTCGGTGACACGGCCTCCCTCCCTGGACCCCTCCTGGCCTGAGGTCTTCTGTGGGGGGAGGGGGAGTGGGGAGGAGCGTGTCCCATGAGGGTAGGGTAGGTCTCCTCTGAGCATGTGGGCCAAGGCTCCTCTCCCTGCCTGTCACAGTGGGTACGGCTGCTGCGCAAGCCCTTCCTGCTCTGTTGACAACACCCCGTGGGCAGTCAGTGGCTGGGGGACACCCCACCAGCAGCGGAGATGGGATTCCAGAACCCAAAGCTGGCCCTCTCTCCTGCCACCCCCACCCATGCACCTGTGACCAGCTTTTTGCTTCAGAGGTTCCCTCCTGCGTCACTGAGATGGTTTCTGGGGAGTGGCCTGGAAGCCTGAGCGTGGCCAGGGTCTCCGAGCCCTGCTGGCGCCTTGAGCACACAGAATGAGGGATGGGGGAGGGGTACAGAACCCCCCACCCCCAGCTGTTCC